AAAATATATTTAATATTGACGAAAACAAATGAATAACTTAATTACAACAGTGAAACGGGTCTTATTAGAAAATATCTTGTGAAACAAGGTGTCAAAAAATTGGGATGATCGTCTGCCAATGAATACGCGTTTTTATGAATATTTTACAAACCCTAGTATTTTAATAAACTCCTCTTTTCCTTTCATTCATGTGAGAACTAAATACAAGTACAACATCGAAGATAACCACGACTTAAGGTTCAACAATTAATACGTATGTATTTGAAATAAAGACTCGGACACATTTAAAGTTATTATCATTATTTAATCGTGCATTGTTGACTAGCGTATTCTTCAGCTTTCATACCTGAAACCAGGATAATACAATCAGCGCCACTACACAGTAGATACTCCTAAACACTTCTGTAACTTTTATAAATTAATACTTAAAGCAGAAGTTATGGTTCTTTTAGAGTCATAATACCTACAAAAAAAAACAAACAAACAAAAAAAAAACAACAAAAAACAAGTACCTAAACAAAATTGAATGGATACTACTGAGAGGTGCAGTAAGTTTATGGTTTATCCTAAAATAGAAATTTTAAAGTTATTGTTTCTCTCAACAGATGGCGAAACTCTAACAGGCAATCTAAAGTCGTCTGCGAAATTATGATTCAATTCAACTATTTTTCTTCACGCGTGAATGTATTCTATATATTTACAATCAAGTTAGGAAACATACAAGGTTTTCATTCGCAACTAGTCTGCTTTAAAATCTAACAGCATACAAATAATGATGGATTTCACAGTCTCCAACTGATTAACAGATGTAAAATACAATTGGTGTTCAACGATCTTCAGGTTAGAGCAAAACTCTATAGCTCACAATCATCAACCAGATAATTAAGTAACAAAACATTTCACTAAACTATTACATCAAATATCAACCTGTAAATATTAAACAATATCCATCTAACATAGTTTTAAAAAATTATTAAAACTTTTTTTTTTTTTGAGAAAATGTCCATCATCCATATTTAGATAGTTAAAATGACAAACCAATCAACACAAAATTACAGTCGCACGTCTTAGAGCTCAAAATAGCAATATATATTTAAAATATTGACTTCACCAGCCGGGAAACAGAAAATAAAACAATTAGCATGTACGAATAATTAATCAAATGTCGTTTGTTTGTTTGTTTCGGGTATTCGCGCAAAGACACAAGGGCTATCTGTGCTAAGAGTCCCTAATTTTGAACTGATAGACTAAAAGAAACGTAACTAATAGACAGTACCCACTATAAACTCTTGGGCTACTCTAATCGAATAATGGGATCTGACCATCGTTTCCTTATAACGAGCCCACCGACAGCCCTCGAATACAAGGGCGCGACTACGGAACATGAACCATGAACGTTCGGATTCATAGTTAGGCACACAGTTTAATGTGGCGGAGATCATAAATACAATACGAATGTTCCACAGCAATAGGTAAATGTAACACCAGCACAAGTTTCTAGTTCTGCTAGAGACGAAGCATTTCTCTTAGAATAAGCATTTAATGCCAGTTTTCCGTAAAAACCACCACTGACAACAAAAAACAGTTTTTAAAAGAATACTGTAACAAAATGAACTTCTATCTTCTTTTTTGAAGGAGAGATCAAATATTAGTTTGTTTCTTGAAACCCGTCTTTTAGCGTTATAAACCCCAAGACTTACCGCTAGCTCAAACAAGAGAAAAAAAGAGGTACAGTTGCATTGATGTGAATGCTATATAATTTTCTGGGTTAGTTTAATTTCAACCTAATTACTTGACTTTGTAAACAAGCTAACAGTTAACTACCTGTACTCGTCTCTCGATGGTGGGGCGATAAAGCAAGTATACAGTTTTGTCTAATTTATATCACACAATTTACCACTTAGATTCTTTTTAAATAAAGTACTATCTTAATTAATTATGTACATACAGACGCGTGGATACATAAATATATATATACACACACACAAACATAGAAACAAACAAAACCACAAACAACTTCTAAAGTTAGCTGGCTTCGAGAAATGCCAAACTGTTGAATAATATTTAGATTTCAAAATAACATTATTATTTCAGGAAGTCATAAGTTGTAAAGATCACAGTAATATTTGTTTGTTTGTTAATTTTTAACAGAGTCATGCCTTGACATCTGGACTGTTACATTCCTCATTTAACTTAATTTTTATTATTGTCCGATGATCAAAAAGTGTGAAAGAAATACCACTGTAACAAGTTCAAAATGTCAGGGTTTACTTTTTTAAATAAATATATATATATATT